GACCTTCTGCCTGTTGGCCGCGCGCGGTAAGGGCGGGCGCCGCGGTAGTGGCGCGAGCCGCTGCGGCGTGTGCGTGCGCCCGCATTCCGGGCTGCGCTGGGCTGTGGGGCTGGCGTGGGTCCCGAGTCCGGAGTGAGCTCCGGGGCCGTGGGACCGCGGGCTGCGAGTCCTTGTGCCTGAGATGCCTGCATATAGGGGTCTGCGAGCTGCAGCCGGGGGCGTTTACGGCACATACTAGTCCTCAGGGGGTCTGTGTCCTTGGTTTGCGGAGTCTGGAGTGAGTGAGTGTGTATGTGTGTGTGGTGGGGGGGAACTCCTGCGGACGTACGTGTCCGCAGTGCGTGCCACGATCACGGCGTGGCATCGGCAGGGCGAGTGGCTGCGGGGTTGGTGGCTTGCGCGTGTCAGGTTCTGCCCGCGCGCTTCTCGGGTTTAAGAGTGTGTGTGTGAGAAAGAGAAGGGGTGTGGAGGGGTGTGTCTATACCTCCATTTGTGTTAGGTGTCTGTGTAATTGTGTTTCTGGGGCTGAGCTAATAATTTGGCCTTGGCTTTTGGGGAGTGTCCTTGTCCGTGGTGGGGTAACAGGGCGGGAGATTCCGGACTGAGTGTGTTTCGGGGGTGTTATGTGATAAAACAACACTCAAGTTTGCTAGTGGGTGTGGTCCCTGTGGCCGATTGGGGCAGGGGAGATCTGGTCCCCGAATTCGTGGCCAGGAGTGGACTGGGGGGAGGGGATGTAAAACCAGTTGCTTTCGCGGACGTGTCCAGCGCTGGCTCTCGGGATGGGACGCGTGTTACTCCTGCCCCACCATCCAGGGGCAGATCAAGAAAGCGTAGACGAGGTCAGCGAGACCTCCTCCAGTCCCCCACCCAGTGCGGAGTGGGTGGAGGGTAAGGGTCCAAGTTGTCTAGATGAAGGAAGGGCTGGACGTTGGGGAACGAAGTCCTCAAGTGTGTGTAGGTCTACAGCTCCTTCTTCCACCCCTAGCCCGCTCCCTTTCAACCCTGTGAGCGTTTGGGGGGCGCCCCAAGGGGAGAGTAGATGGTGGGGCTGGGGAGGGGGATGGGCTGCCCGCTTTGTTCGCCTCCTTCTTGCCTTCTCTGCCGAGGGGGGAGCTGAGGATGTGTCCGGGGCGAGTCGGGGAGGGACTTGGAGGTGGGGGTGGGGAGGGGGATTTCTCTCCAGCTGCTGCGGCTTTCCAGAGACTCAGCATGGCCACGTGGGAAGGAGGCAGGGAGGGCGGCGGGGTAAAGAGCCGGCCCCAGGCCCATCTCCAGGAAACCCAAACAGCTTGGGAAAGTGCCGTGAACTTTTCGGACCCCTTCACTCATCACAGATACGCCTCTATCCAATTCTGACCTTTGACTCGTTGTTGGCCGCTGCGGGCGGCCGCCTAGGGGAGGTGGCTGTTCTGGTGAGTGGGGGGCTTGGGTTTTCAGGTAAAAAGGCGGAGAAATGTCACAGCGGCGTCTGTACTCCTGGAGCCTCAGGGGTTAAGGAATAGCTGTGCCCCTCTGCTTCCACCACAAGTAGCACCGGGAACGAGCTGCGGGTCCAGCAAAGCGGAATGGGGACTAGGAGCCGCACCCGTACACTCCCCAGTGCCGTTGGGGCCTCCAGCAAGGGGCTCAACTGCCCTCCTTCCGAGACCTGGCCTCTTCCTACTGCAAGAGTACACAGCGCCAGGACAGGGCCCTAGCTGGGGCTTTCCTTGGCTGCAGAGTAAGTGGCAAAAGCACTCACTTTATCCCTCGGTCCCACTCTGAGTGTGCAAAATTGCAGCAGGCCTGGCTAGAGACATTCCTATAGACCTCTGATTAGCCACGTGATCTAGATCGAGGTCATTCATTCATTCAGCAAATATTTACTGAACATCTTTTATAGGCTAGCATGTGCCTGGTGCCTGAAATACAGCAAATAAGGAGGCAGACTTGGGCTCTGGTATACAAAGCTTTCAGTTTGGGGAGGGGAAGAATGACAGGTAAACAAGAACTCTGCAGCGTGGGCTGGGCTGCTGAAGACTAAGCCAGTCTAGATAGGTTAGGAAAGGCTTCCTGGAGGAAGTGATAAATCAATCATTGAACTAAATGTAGAAAGAAGGAGCCCTCGCAGTGCATTGGGCTGCTAACCTAAGGGTCGGTGGTTTGGGAGTAAAATGAGGGAGTCTGCTTCTGTAAAGATTTACAGCATCAGAAATCTTATGGAGCCAGGGGCAGGACTGGGGCTCCCCTTGGTTAGCCCCACAGAAGAATAAGTGTTGAATAGTTTTCCAGAGAAATGGCATGTGCAAATGCTCAAAGGTGACTTCACCTAAACCTGAAAGAAACTAAGCCTGACCGGAGTTCAGAGCAAAGGGGAGTGTGGCAGGTGGAGAAAGTGTGAGACAAGGACTGTGAGAAGCAAGAAAGGAGATTAAAGAGGAGGACTGGATCCAACTCATGAAGGGCCTTGTAAACCCCAAGGTATCTGGCCTGAGAACCCCATGAGCCGATGGCAAGTTTTAAGATCAGCTGCTCATCAGCTTACTCCGGCCAGTGTGGAGAATCAGTTGGGCAGGGGTGAGGCAGGAAACTCCAACTCCTTGGGAGGCTGTGATAGTGGTCCAGAAGAGAGGATGGCGGTTGGCATGGTCAGAGTGGTTAGATTCTAGAGATAGTTAGGGAGTAGAATCAGAAGAACTTGAGGATAGACTCAACTGGTTGTGGAAGAGGGAAGTAAGAAAATATGACACTTTAGCAACCTCAACATGGGGCAGAAGGAAGGGCTGAGGATGGAGATCAGGACAGTGCCATCAGCTACTAAGTCAGGGATTGGGAAATGGAGAGACATTTAATAAGAGTGGGGCACCTTTCTGGGAGGGTGGAAAGCTACATCCTCTATTTTCACTGCATGCAAGATGTGGTACTCTCCCTTCAACCCAAGTCAGAGTTTGGGTGTTTGGGAAGTCAGAGGTGAATCATAGCTGAATTCTGAGAATGTGAGAGCTGCTTTCTCCTCACCTGGGAAGACCTCCCCCTGCATCCCAGTTCTTTTTCAGTCCAGTTACTCTGCGATGTGTCTCAGTTAGTTGGGGTAGTCCTCTCTGACCTTATCTCTGAAGTTGGGAACATTGTGAGTTTCCTTTAATAGTGACTCTTAGCCAGGCATGATCTAAACCTTTATAGATCCTGATGTACTTTCATGGTCCAATTGATCACATGTTTACATATAAACTAGCATCTCCTTTCATTTCTCGTAAAAGCACCTCTTCCAAGTTATCTCCAAATTAAAATCTCATGGATGTCACCACTGAAAGGAATTTAGAAATTTAACTTTCCTCCATTTTCTAGATGAGAAAATTGAGTCCCTGAGAGGGAAGTGGCTTCCCAAAGATCCATGGATAGATACTGAGCTGAGACTAGTTCAGGTCACCTGGCTCTTGGAGGCTACACTGCCAGGCTGGAGAAGTCACCCGTGCCTGGGATTTGGTAGACACATACACTCTCTGCAATGAGATGTTACCAGTTTTGAGTCGGGCCCCTCTTAGCTGTCTTTCTTGACTTTGGAATCTACCCTCCTCCACTCACCCGCAGTGCTTCCTCCTGTTCAGCTCCCACTGGCTCTGAGGTACAGCAACCAGACTTGACACAGAATTCCAGATGCAGAACAGATGTCATTGCCAGGCGGGCCTGGGGCTCTTAGCCCTTCTGAGGGGGAGGACCCCAGTCTGGTCAGAGGAGGGTGATGGGAAACCAAAGAGAAGATGTGCTGGGACTCAACATGAATCGTCATCTTGTAGACTAGACCCAGCTGCCTCACTGACAAGGCAGAGGAAGTCTCTGGATATGGGGGCTGCGGGACTGTGGGGGTCCAGGAAGCAGAGGATCAGTAAGCACTCTCTTAGATGTCAAGGACAAACTGGTGTAGATCTCAGACTCTAGCATGGCTAGATAAGCAGCTCATTATCTTGTCACCTAGTTTGGAAGACAGATCTCTGGAGAGTAAACTGAGTATACAGGGAGACAGGTGGATGCTAGAGAAAGACATCTGTAACCATATGAGCCACACAGCAGGAAAACAGGGGAGGTAGTGAGCTCCCCATCCCTGATAATGGTTAAGTATAGAATTTCTTTTGGTGTGGGTTTGCTGTTCAGTCTCTGCTTTGTAGTTATCTATTAAGTGCCCAAAGTCTTGGATATCCTGTATAGGGTCTGTATGAATGGAAACCGACTTGATAGCACTTAACAAGTGTGCTAGGCATTTCCCACATGAATTATACTCTAACCTTGAAGGGAGTTAAAATTCTTTTTACAGATAAGGAAACAGGCTTGGAAAAGTATGAGTGGGTCTGTGTTTTATCTTTTTGAGTATGTCTCTACATGCCTATCTATTCATCCACTCATGGACTATTTATTGAGCACCTACTATGTGCCAAAGATCCCAGAGTGGTACAAATGGTTTGCTCTCATTTTCTAACCCAAAGGTTGGTGGCTCGAGCCCATCCAGAGGAACCACAGAAGAAAGGCCTGACACTCTGCTTCTATAAAGATTTTTGTTGTTGTTAAGTGCCCAGGAGTCGGTTCTGACTCATAGTGACCCCACATAGGGTTTCTGAGGAGTGGCTGGTGAGTGTGAACCACCAACCTTGCAGTTCAAACCGACTTTGCAGTTGAGTGCTTACCCTACAGTGCCACACCAGGATTACAGCCGAGAAAACCGTATGGAACAATTCTATTCTGTAACTTATGAGGAAAGAAAGGCAAGTCAAAAATGTAGAGATAATTTCCATAAGTCTAGTGCCCAGGGTCCTCTGGGGCAGAAAAAGAAGAGGCATCAGAATCAGAAGGGGATGATTCTAGGCAGATGGTGGTGGTAGTGGTTATGTGCTGTCTAGGTAGATAACAACTTGTAAAGTGGCCTTGAGGTTTCAGGGAATTGAAAGTGGTTTGGGGTGGGGGGTGGGGGGGCGGGAACTGGGGGTACTCACTGGAAGATGCGGGGGCTAGGTCAAGCTAAGTTTGGCTTTGCCATCATGTTGGCTGGGTCTGTCTCCTCAGGGTTGCAGATGAAGGGAGAGTTGAGGCCTGCCCTGTGGCCCAAGCAATCATCCCAAACTCTCCTTCCAGCTGTTGGTGGGAGGGGCTTAGTGTGTGGTATGGGAGGTAGCCAAGTTGGGGGGCAGGGAAAGAGGTAACTGGAAGAAACTGATTTGTGTCCCCTGAGAAAGCAGAGTGGTCATGGAGTTACGGCCTGAAGACAAGTTGGGCCCTGAAACTCAGAAGTTACAAGGCCTTGATGTTTGTGGTAAATCCTTAGCTTAATGAATGAGGCATCTTGACTTCGTTTCCCTCCCCCACCCACATGCCCTCTTCCTGAGAGTTCACTGAAAAATGGAACAACGTGAGGCTCCAGCTCACACTCAGGCCCCACTAATCCCATGAAACAGCACTGAGCTGGCCTTAGGGCTCAGCAGTGAATCTCCTTTCTGTCTGGGTCCTAGTTGGCCTCATAAAATCTAATTTATCCTGGATGTGGGTAAAATAATCTGTTAAGGAAAGGAGATTGAGAGAGGGCCCTGGGGGTCACAGTGTAGAAACTTTGAGAAGACTGAGGAGAAGGAATTGTAGGCCAGAGAGGCCCCTTCGAGTCAGAAAGCCGACAGGCAGCAAGAGTCCTCCGTTGAGTAACTATGTCCACTCCAGTCTTGAGAGGAATGTCTAAGCAATGTTCCTGCTTGGGGCTTTTGGGGTCAGCCTTGGCAGTGGGCTGGGAGTGGCAGGAAACAGGGGCCACAAAGCCACAGGATAAATAATGTTTATATTAAAACAAACATTGTTATGCTATGGAGTGGAATGCAGATATGCCAGAGCTTTAACTATAAAATTATATAAGGCAGACATGACTGTGTCCTCTCCTCTGCTATTAATGAGAATTTTCGTGAAAATGCTTAAGAAGTGGGGAAACTGAAGCTAAAAGGAGGAAAGTGACCCACCAAGGTCATAGGATATGTGACTAGACCTAGAACCCAGGACATTGGGGTCACTAGGTAGTGTCACAAATAGCACCCCACTCCTGCACTATGGGCCTCCTCCCATACCAGACCACACAGAATACTTAGTGTTTCTTATCCATTTTAATCATATAACATAATAAATATAGCTGTGGTGATGGTTCTGTGCCGTGGAGTCAGTTCCCACTCAGAGTGACCCTGCACAGGGTTTCCGAGGCTGTAAATCTTTACGGGAGCAAAAAGCGTCATCTTTCTCCCGCAGAACAGCTGGCAATTTCGAACTGCTGACCTTGAGGTGTGCAGCCCAATTCATAACCACTATGCTACCAGAGCTCCTTAAATACAGCTGTAAATTACTTGAATATAATATTTCTTTATATTAATAATAACAAAACTGTTTTGTAAAATCTTTCTACATTGAATTATGACATTGTTAGTTACAGTACTAGTAACTGAGTAGAAGCCTTTTTCATTTTTTTCCCTGCTTTTCCTTTAATTACTACTTCATTCTCAAAAAAGTTACTGATACCGTTTCACAAATACTAATTACTACAATATTATAGCTAAAACACTAGAAAATTTGACAAAATCAGCAACTAGAAAAACACCAGAGCAACAAAAACAATAGTGCACGCTCCTAGCCAGGTGTCTGAAACCAGGGATGTAAAGGACATTGAAATTGGTAATAATGACAGCTCTGACCAGATGCATTGTGGTATATTGTTGTTGTTAA